GATAGTGATAGTTAGGGGGGAGAGGGTGATGGTGATGGTCGGCAGGGTTGGGGAGTGGTGATCTGTTGATCTCTCTGAGTCACTCTCGATCCTGATGCGAGGTCGGGTGGTGTGGTTACAGCTGCTGATGATTGTGTCCGTTTACAGCCCCTCACTGACTCCAACATTTTCTGTCCTTTGACTGTAAACAGCCTTCTTGGCCTCCAGCTTGCCATCACTAACCGTGCACTGTTAACTTACTGAGAGGCCGCATGGCTTGCTGGTGACCCTGACAGTGAAGGTTAACAGCTTCAGAAAGAGCTCATTCATTAGCTGAAAGAACATAACAAACACCCAAAACATTTTACACAAAGCCCTGCTCTCGGTCACATTACTCCACACTGCAGATAAAAATAGGACAGCAATTTCATGTGTTGATGCTATGATTCTGTTCATAGTTATCCAGTGGCACCCTAAAACTTTCCTCATCGACTGGTTATTTTCCTGAATTTGATGCTCAATAAAGTGAGGCATTTTAGTTTTGGGGAATCGATGATTTTTAGCATTCTTGTCAGAATTAAGCAGTATCTTAGTTACAGATTAAAACTCCCTCTCTACTGTCCCTATCATACGAGCAGTCGATTTAGGAACACACAGAAGCCATTCGGCCCCTCAAGCCTGCACTGCCATATGGGTATGATCTTGGGAGATCTGACTCTACATTTTCCCCTACTCTAAATGCCCGAAGACTCCTTTGTTAATTAAGATTCTAGCTGTCTCTGCCTTTAAAATATTCAATGACTCAGCCTCCACTATCCTCTGGGGAACAGATTTTCTGGGAATAAGGGGTCACTGGAAGAAAACTTTCTCATCATCTCCATCTTAAACAGGAATGCCCGTACTTTTAAACTGGGTCCAGGAATTCTAGTCTATTTCATAAGGACCAACATCCTTTCAGCATCCACCCTGTTAATTCAGGTAAACTCCCTTCCAGGACAAGATACTACAGGCTTAGATACAGTGTAAACTTCCTCTACTCTTTTAAACTGGAAGTAAAGGTCTCTCAACACTGTCCCATCAAACACTCCCAGGACAGCGACAGCACGGGGTTAGATACAGAGTAAAGCTACTTCTACATTGTTCCCCATCAAACATTCCCAGGACAAGAACAGCATGGGGTTAGATACAGAGTAAAGTTCACTTTACACTGTCCCCATCAAACACTCCCAGGGCAGGGACAGCACGAGGTTAGATACAGAGTAAAGCTCACTTTACACTGTCCACCTCAAACACTCCTAGGACAGGGACAACATGGAGTTACATACAGAGTAAAGCTGTCTCTATGCGGCCCCCCCATCAAACACTCCCAAGACAGGGACAGCACAGGGTTAGGTACAGAGTAAAGCTCCGTCTACACTGTCCCCCATCAAACATTCCCAGGACAGGGACAGCATGGAGTTAGATACAGATTAAAGCTCACTCTACACTGTCCCTATCAAACACTCCCAGGGCAGGGACAGCACAGGGTTAGATACAGAGTAAAACTCACTCTACACTGGCCCCATCAAACATTCCCAGGACAGGGACAGCATGGGTTAGAGACAGAGTAAAGCTTCCTCTACACTGTCCCCATCAAACATTCCCAGGATAAGGGGTTAGATACAGAGTAAAGATCCTTCTACACTGTCCCCCCATCAAACACTCCCAGGACAGGGACAGCATGGGTCATTGTAATGGGTGTCAGTGTGTTCCTGAAATTCTGAACTGAAAGTGAAGAACTCACTCCTTCAGTCACATCAGCTTTGTAATTACTGCAGTACAGTTTTTTTGACTCCACCATTTGTTTCTCCAGCTCTGAGGCCTTCAGCCCAGAACATGGTGGACGAGAAGGAGCTACAAAAGTTATGGTTGTTGTGACAGATGGTGAATCTCATGATGGCCTGGAGCTTCATGGTGCCCTTGCTGAGTGTGAGAAGCGTAACATCAGTCGCTATGCCATTGCAGTAAGTGACGTCCAGAGTTACACATTGTGCAGCAAACAAACAGGTCATACAGCCCACATACTGAAGTTTATACTGTACTGCAAATGAGACTTCTAGCACTCTGCCTCATTGTTTAAACATTCTCCTCCTCTTTTCTCCCTCCCAAGTTTAGCTGGTTTCCGTAATAGGCTTTGCTAATCATTCCATTTGGTAGTGAGTTCCACGTTCTTATCTCTCTCTTGGGTGACAGAGTGCTCCTGAGATCCCCATTGGATTTTTTCATGGGCATCTGACAGGGTGGCACAGTGGCTCAGTGGTTAGCACTGTGGCCTCACAGCACCAGGGACCCAGGTTTGATTCCAGCCTCGCATGACTGTCTGTGTGAAGTTTGCACATTCTCCCTGTATCTGGGTGGGTTTGCTCTGGTTTTCTCCCACAATCCAAAGATGTGCAGGTTAGATGGATTGGCCATGCTAAATTGCCCGTAGTGTCCAGGGATTTGCAGGCTAGATGGATTAGCCATGGGAAATGTGGGGTTACAGGGATAGGGTAGGGGTTGGGTCTGGATGGGGTGCTGTTCGGGGGGTTGGTGTGGTCTCGATAGGCTGAAAGGCCTGCTTAGAAACTGTATGGATGCTGTGATTCTATGACCAGCTAGTGCCCAGTGGTGCTCAACATCAAAAGATGTAAGTCACTGTGTAACCCAGAGTTCCTCCTGCAGGTTCTGGGCCATTACATCCGAAGACGCAAAGACACAGAGACCTTTATAAAGGAGATCAAATTTATTGCCAGCGACCCCGATGAGAAACATTTCTTCAATGTAAGCGACGAGGCAGCACTAAACGATATCGTAGATGCTTTGGGAGACAGGATATTTGGGTTAGAAGGTAATGGCCATGTTATATATGTTGAAATTATTTATCCGTTCAAAGCAACACCCCAAGTTCTTTCAATCATTTCATCCTGCTCTGCACTGACAGTGTGAGCCAGGGTTCTAGCTGGGAAGGGTTTCTGAGTGACATTGTGAGGAAGTTGGATTCACATCAATAAGGATACAGTCTGTAACACAGGGTGCTGAGGGGAGAGGGATTCCTGAGCAACAGTGTGAAGGAGCTGGATTAACATCAGTAAAGATGCAGTCACTAACACAGGGTGCTGAGGGGAGAGGGGTTCCTGAGTGACAGTGTGAAGGAGCTGGATTAACATCAGTAAAGATGCAGTCACTAACACAGGGTGCTGAGGGGAGAGGGATTCCTGAGTGACAGTGTGAAGGAGCTGGATTAATATCAGTAGAGATACAGTCAGTAACACAGGACTGTGGGAGGAGGGGTTTGAATTAATCTTCTAAAACAGATTTTGACATTTGCAGATTGACTTGAATTTGTCTCATTTGACTCAGATTGGATGCAGGTCTGTTTGTTGCTGATTGATGTCTGACCTCTCTGTTTCTCTCTCAAATCTATCCAGGAACAATTCAGCAAAATGAAAGCTCATTTGAGTTGGAAATGTCACAGGCTGGATTTTCAGCACATGTCCTGGAGGTAAGTTATGAGTTTGTCCTCTGCTATAGCCGATAGTATTGGTGATGATAAGAAACAGGAAATGTTCCCCAATTCTACTCCAGCCAGTGAGCAAGGGAGAACTTGTGATGGATCAAAACTACAGACTAATGAAGGAATGAACTTGAAGATCCCTGGGTGAAGATAGAATTTTTGGAGTAATTTACTCCAGATGGCTGTGAATGCTCAGTGTTGAATGTATTCAAGAGATTTTTTGTGGTACTTGGGAATTGAAAGACACTGAGTTGGGCAGAAATGTGGTTTTGATATTGGAGGTCAGACCTGAATGACCCTGTCCTGGCTCTTGTTCCTACGTCCTTATGTTCTATATTGCCATGCTCCACTATTTGTTTAAAGTTGGGATGTAGGGAATGACCAGGGAGGTATAGAATTAATCAAAGATACCCCTTCCTCATTGAGAGTGCAGGTGAACTGTACAGACAGGTAGAATCAGAGAATGAGTTCCCCAGCAGTCAGAGCCATGGAGTCTGATACGGTCACCAAGTTCAGCTCGACTCACTCCTACTGCTGAGATAAGACAACAAGATATGGGAATAAAAGTAGACCATTCAACAAAATGAAAGTTCATTTGAGCTGGAAATGTCACAGACAGAATTTTCAGTGGATGTTCTCGTCCAATAAGATCATGGTTGATCTGATAATTCTCAACTCAACTTTCTTGCCTTCTCCTCGTATTGCTTGATTCCCTTCCTGGTCAAAAACCCATCTATTTCAGCCTCAAATATGTTTAACAATCCAGCCTTGGCAACACTCTGTCTTAACAAATTCCACAGATACACCACCCCCGGGAGAAAAACTATTCCACCTCATCTCTGCAATTTTCTGAAGAAGGGTCTTGACACGAAACGTCAGCTTTCCTGCTCCTCTGATGCTGCCTGGCCTGCTGTCAGTTCTTGCTATCTCCACCTCATCTCTGTTTTAATTGGGTGACCCTTTTTTCTGAGATGATGTCCTTTGGTTCTAGATTCTCCCGCAAGAAGAAACAGCTTTTCCACGTGTAACCTTTCAAATCTGCTAAGAATCTTGTATGTTTCAATAAAGTGCCCTGTCATTCTTCTAAATGCCAGTGAGTACAGGCCCAGCCTACCCAACCTCTCTTCATAAGAAACTCCCTCCATTCCCGGGATCAACCTAGTGAACCTTCTCTGAGCTGCCTCTGATGCTAGTCTAAGGGGACCAAAACTGTTCACTGTATTCTAGGTATGGTTAAATACTGCCTTTTATAGTTTTAGAAAGACTCCCTTATTTTTATGCTCTATTCCATTTGAAATAAAAGTCAACATTCCACTTGTCTTCTCAATTACCTGCTGAACTTGGATGTTTGTTATGAACCACTTGGGAAAGTGTGCTGATTCTTCAAATCTACTATTCCCGAGTTCGCCACTAACATTAATGATTTAGTCAAAGTACACACAATCCTCTATTTACCTGTCTGGTGGAATCAAATTAACAAAAGAACACTGACCAAGTTCCTGTACTCACAATAACTTACAACAAAAACAAAGTAAATATCACCTTGGCATTACTTAAAATGTGGTGAAGGAAACAAAAGCTCATTTTATTCAGTCTGTGCCAAGGCTTATTGACTGCAAAGGCTGATTGGAGCCCTGGATTTTGGAATTACGGATGTGTTGGGGATCTGGGTTTAACAGGTTACTGGGTTTAGTGGGGCTTTGAGATTAACGGGGATCTGGGTTTAACAGGTTATTGGCTTTAGCGGGGATCTTGGCTTAACAGGGCAGTGGGTTTAATGGGGATCTAGGATTAACAGGGCACTGGGTTTAACGGGGATCTGGGTTTAACAGGACACTGGGTTTAGCGGGGATCTGGGATTAACAAGGCACTGGGTTTAGCAGAGATCTGGGATTAATGGGGATCTGGGTTTAAAAGGGCCTGGGTTTAGCGGGGATCTGGGTTTAACAGGGATCTGGGATTAATAGGGTGCTGGGATTAACGGGGATTGGGATTAATGGAGATCTGGGTTTAACAGGGATCTTGGTACAACAGGACTATGGTACAGCATTGGGATCACAGGAAGTAGAACTGGGATATACTGGGATAGCATTGGGAGCACTGGGAGCGGAGCTGGGATAGACTGGGATAGCATTGGAACCGCAGGGAGCGGAGTTGGGATAGACTGGGATCGCATTGGGACAGCATTGGGAGCACAGGAAGCGGAGCTGGGATAGACTGGGTGAGCTTTGGGAGCACAGGGAGCGGAGCTGGGATAGACTGGGTGAGCTTTGAGAGCACAGGGAGCGGAGCTGGGGTAGACTGGGACAGCATTGGGAGTGCAGGATGTGGAGCTGGGATTGACTGGGACAGCATTGGGAGCACAGGGAGCGGAGCTGGGATAGACTGGGTGAGCTTTGGAAGCACAAGGAGCGGAGTTGGGATATACTGGGATAGCATTGGAAGCGAAGGGAACGGAGCTTGGATGGACTGGGACAGCATTGGTAGTGCAGGGAGCGGAGTTGGGATATACTGGGATAGCATTGGGAGCAGAGGGAGTGGAGCTGGGATAGACTGGGACAGCATTGGGAGTGCAGGGTGTGGAGCTGGGATTGACTGGGACAGCATTGGTAGCACAGAGAGCAGAGCTAGGATTGACTGGGATAGCATTGGGAGCACAGGGAGTGGAGCTGGGATAGATTGGGTGAGCATTGGGAGCACAGGAAGTGGAGCTGGGATAAACTGGGTTTGTATTGGGAGCGAAGGGAGCAGAGCTGGGATAGACTGGGTGAACTTTGGGAGCACAGGAAGTAGAGCTGGGAGCTGAGGGATTTGGAGTGGGTGAAACGCTGTGCTGTCAGGTTGTGTGCCTGAAATGTAGATGTCCCTCTTTTGAATCAGTGTTGTCAAATTTCCAACATTCTTTAAACCTGCAGTCTCCAAAATAAACATGGTCTCTTTTAAAAAACAATACCATTCAAACCCACTCTTCCGGTCTCTATCAGACCTGCCTCATATCGAGACTCCACTTGCAGTCTTCATTTTGGGTATTTGTTGGGCCAGAGTTTCTGTACACTAGTACCTGCAGGGGGCTGTGGTAATCTATTACTGATTTAAAATTCAAACTAAAACTCTCTTACCTTGGGGTGATTCTGGTTTAGCTGCACTGCAGAACAATCAGGGACAGAAATAGTGCCGTTGATTATAACTTTTTTTTAAATTCAGCTCTGATAAAGTATTGTTGAGATCAAAGTAAGCTGCAATCAGCTGTTTGATCGAAATAAATATCTGGGGACACAGTGGTACACTTGGGTATATTTCTTTTTGTCTTGCTGTCTCCAGTTTTCAGTCTCTTTGTAGCATTGCCTCCTAGGGTAAGGGCTCTCCAGCTGCTGGCTCTCCTCCCCCTCCCAATGTCTCCCGTCGTGCCCCCACCACCAGCTCACACAGAAACCCGCTGTTTATGTGTGAGCCTATAGTAAGTTTTGGTTCACAGTAGCCTCACCCGACACCCACTCTACCTCGAACAGGCAGTGGACAGGGAGATAAAACAGGAAAACTGTTTTTTCCACTCTTTAGCCCAAGGGCACTGAGCCTGACTGAAATGTCCCTGGCAGATGTTTTCAAATGTATCTGTATTAGCAGTGAATAGTTTGGTCGGTAAACTTGATTGGCCTTTAGTGAGACAGTTGTTTGAGAGGATGCCAAGCAATCAGGTTTCCCTCTGAGTACAGATAGTAAGAACTGCCGATGCTGGAGTCAGAGATAATACAGCATGGAGCTGGAGGAACACAGCAGGTCAGGCAGCATCAGAGGAGCAGGAAAGTTGACGTTTCAAGTTGGGACTCATCCTGCTCCTCTGATGTTGCCTGGCTTGCTGTGTTCCTCCAGCTTCACACTGTGTTATCTCTTCCATCCGAGTAGCTGACATTTCCTTTGCTGCTGTACTCCGTCTCCTCACTGTGTCCTGTTGATCCATCAACTCTGTGCCTAATGACCTACATTGACTCTCAGTCCAGCAAATCCTCCAAGGTCAAGTTCTTCAACAACTCCATGGCCTCAATTTTCCCTCCCACCTACAGTACCTTGCTTAGAGTCCCTCCAGTTCTGGCCCCTTGTGTATCCACTCTCCCTTGGTGTCATCATTGATGACCGTTTCTTTGGTCAGTGACCTAAACTCTGGGATTCTCTCCATAAATATCCCTACCAGCCTATGATGCTCCTTCGTTACAATCCTCCTTAAAGCCCACCTCCTTGATCAGACTTTTATGTTATCCTTCTTAATATCCTATTCAGCTCAGAGTGTGTTTTAGAGCGATTACACTCCTCGAAGAGTTAGGGATAGGGTGAGAACATGTTTTGAGGTGAAATATAGTTGTAAATACAAGTTGTTATCAGCCTGCTTATACATCCGGTTACCTGCCAGAGCTGAAGAAAATTCAGTATTTTCGGGAATGCTTGGTATTTGCAATGACTGCAAAAAAGCAAGAAAAGACTTGGAAGTGAAAGGAAATTCTACAAAATCTTTCCCTGTTAGTCTGTGGCTGAAGCATTGAGACCAATTCTGGACACAACCTTCTTGAAGGATTGAAGTTCTTGCAAGGGGCATTGACCATAGAATCCCTACAGTGTGGAAGCAGGCCATTCAGCCCATTGAGTCCACACTGACCCTCCAAAGAGCATCTCACCCAGACCTACTTTATCCCTGTAACCCTGCACTTCCCATGGCTAACCCACTGAACCTGCACATCCCTGGACTCTATGGGCGATATAGCATGGCCAATGAACACTAACCTGCACATCTTTAGACTGTGGGAGGAAACTGGAGCAAACCCATGCAGGCACAGGGAGAATGTGCACACTTCACTCAGACAGTAGCTGTGAGCCAACAGTGCTAACCAGATAGTATCACAGATGAGGCACTTTGTTTGAATGAAGTTTCAGAATGTAGGGTTACTCCTCTTAAAGCAGAGAAGGTTAAGGTGAAATTTAGTCGAGGTGTTGAAAATGCTGAAGGGTTTTGTAGGAGTAAATATGAAGGGAGTATTTCCCCTGGCAGAAGTGTCAGTCAGCAAAGGAGAATGTTTAACACAAATAGGCAATAGAACCCTGACTGTCGTGAGGGAATTGTTTTACAAACAATTGAAGAATAATTATAATCTTGAATGCAGTGTCCAAAGGCAGGCACAGATTCAATAATTATATCCAAAAAGACAATCAGATAAATAATTGAAAACAAACCCCACTGGTGGGGCCATAGGAAGGTAAAGGGAAGGTACCAATTGGATAGATCTTTGAAGGAGCTGGCAGGGCACGATGTGCCAAATGCACTGGAATTCTATGAAAAGAATGGACTGGTAGCCTGTAAATTCTTCCTTTACTGTGCAAGCTTCGTTATTTTTGTCACAGTTACAGAGGAAAGTTTTTTTTAACTCAGCTTCTGTTCAGATTGACAGACACTGTGTATGAGCAGCGTTTGAGAGTTAGATGCTGTCAGACCATGGATTTTATTTTTAAATTCACCTTGTTCATAGATGTCATTACATAGCTCTGGAGCAGATGGGACTTGAACCTGGGCCTCCTTGTCAGAGGTAGGGACATTACCACTGCTCGACAAGGGAGCCTGTGAGCCAGCTTCAGGTTTCTGTAAAAGGTGGTGCAGGTCAGGATTGCCACCTGCAGGAACAATGCAGCACTGCGGCTGCTCCCTTTCTCAGAATCGAACCAGAATCTGTTAACATCCTACAAGTTAGAGCCTTTCATTGATATCCACAGACATTTTTACTGCTGAATTATATCCATATGTCTCCTGAATCCATTTACACTGCCCACTGCAGTGAAGATGTCGCTGATTTATTCTATGAAACTGTGTTATCCTTTGAAAAGATAGAAGAAAGACTTGGAGCTATACAGCACCTTTCAGAAATTCAAGATACTGCACATTGATTCACAGACATTAAATACCCAAACTGCCATAACATAGGACATGGAGAAGGCTATTTGAACATAGCAAGCTCAAACAAAGAACAACATAAAAATGATCACATAATCTGAGTTTTTTTTAAATAATGTTATTTGTTGGATAAATATCACTCAAGGTTCTGGGGAAAAACTAATCTGTCTTCCTTCAAGATCGTGTCACATGATCTCTTTCAGATGCTCTGTTTGTCAGACACCTTATCTGTCATCACCTCTGACAGTGTGGTGCGCCCTCAGCACTGACCCTCAAACAGTGTCTGCTCCCACAGCACTGACCCTGAGACAGTGCCTGCTTCCTCAGCACTGACCCTCCGACAGTACCCACTCCCTCAGCACTGACCC